GCATCCTATAATATTTAGCGGCTTCATGACCTTCCCCCAATAACTGTATAATTTTATTTATACAGCTAACTTTGGAGATTGCATACTTGACCCAAAGAGCTTTTGCAACAAATGGCGTAGTTGACGATATCTCCAGAATTGGGTTTGGGGTAAATCATATTGTTGTTTTAGGTCATTATATGATTGAAGTGTATCAGCACTATATATATTTTCTAATATGAGGATGCCCTTTTCTATCCACTCCTTCCAAATAAATGCCTTCTTATCAATATTTAGCTTGGGATTGAGCCAGTGCTAGAGGCCTTATTTAAGTAAGGGTCAACCCCTATTAGCCCTGAGACCTTCCTCCATATGTGTTCAAGGTGAGATATAATTGTGAATCTTAGTTTGTTTATTTTATTTGGTGGACAAGCAGTAAAGCAGAGGGAGAGGAGCTGATACAGACTGCTCTATAATGTACCATGGGGGAGCTCTCTCTGGAGGCAATGCCCAGAGTGCCAGATGCCTCAGACTAAATGCATAGTGATAATATAACAAATTAGGGAACCCTAAACCACCACCGTCAACTGGCCTTTGTAATTTCCTCATATTCATTCTTGGTCGCTTCCCATTCCAGATAAATGCTTTAAATACACCATCAAATCTCTTAAAATAACTGCCTGGGATTTCTAGTGGGAGAGATTGAAGTAAGTAATTAATCCTCGGGACGCAATTCATTTTGACAACGTTAACTTTACCCCATAAAGACATATACAGAGACGACCAATGTTTTAAGTCAATATCTAGTAATACCAACATTTTTAAAAATTTCATATATATCATATAATCTTTGTATATTTCTTGAATATATATACTTGGCCTTTTATCATTGTTTTTCCTCACAAAACCATAGGCAACTATTATTGACATCAACAGCAACAACAGACTATACTCTCTGCTGGTGAAAGCACCCACCGCAGTGTTGTAGCACAGGGGAACATGACGTACACTCGCCCTATAGCAAATAATTGACTTTTAGATTGAGCGCTGCTCCGCTCTTCCTTTTAAGGAGAGCTGGGGCAGGATCATTTCCCATCATTGCAGTGTGTAAAACTGGAAGCAGCAGGAAACATCACAGTCTGGCATTGTGACGTTTTCTCAGTCACCACCCACAACTGTATCTTGCGCTTTGGGACGAGCCAATAGACAGAGGGAGAGGCTGTCTGATAAAGTGTTAGCTGGTCAGCGATGTAGGAGGTTCGCTGATGAATATTACCTTCAGGCTTGTTTATTTCTGTTCGTCTGTGACCATGACTCATTTGATTTTTAGGAAAAATGAGGCAGCTACAGTATCCCATGGAGGCAAATCAAATACTAGTTGTTTTGTTTTGTTTTGTATTTAATTCAGTTCCAGCCAGTTGATCAGGATTTTTGGCGAATTAGACTTAAGACTTATTGAACATATAAAGCTGTTAATATTTGATTGTGACCCATAAACCTTTGTTTACTTAAGTCTGAACATAAATTATGAGCAGTTAAACAGAGAGAGAAACATTTTTCCGTTTACGTGTTCAGAAGCAAAAGGAGAACTATACTTCACAAACTAAAACGAACAATAAAAAGATAAAATAAAAATAGAGAAAAGATGTAAATATCAGAATACTTATTTCAATGGAACAAACATGTACTCCCCAAGTGTTCCATGTACAGTCAAATAGTCATTTTTTTTGTAATACATTAAAACCAGGGGGGCAAAGATGTTAGCTACATTTTACCTCATGGTAAAAATATCAGGCTACTGTCACTGTAATTAAGGTTCTAATAAAGACAAATGAAATAAATGTTAATTTTTGACAACACACTATCACTTTTTTTTTTTTTTTTTTTACATGTGGGTCATGGGGGGCTCAACTTTTAGACTTTCTTAGATACAAGTAGGCAGGGCGCCAAGGAAAAAGTTTGGGAACCACTGTTGTAATTTATGTTGTGATGTATTCACGTTAAATAGCATTTCTGTTATGATTGAATTGTATATTGTTGTGGTACTCCATATCCACAATCATGAGCTTGAGTCTGTGTTTTTTGTTCCTAGTTTCCTTTTATTTATCTTGCTTGTTAAATCTGTCCCACTTTTCTTCTTCTGTCTTCTGTCTACCGGTCTGTTCTTAGTCTGTTCTTAGGCAGCTTTGGATGTCCAGAAATATTCTGTCAGCTAGATAACCATTGAGCGATGACATGATTTTCCCTTTAATACATTCAGAATAATGAGAAGAAGAGGCATTGTTTCCCAAATTTGTATTCAGAAGGAATACCGGTCACCAATTATACAGAGTTATGCAAATTACCCACTTGACTGGATCACATATTACCTCTATTAAGGGCCAATAGTTCAGCTGTAAAGAAGCCAATTATCATTGAGGCTGTTACAAAGCTGTGATGGAAGTAATTGAAGACTTGATTGCAGGGATATTAATGACATTCGGGGAAAAAATACTAGTGTTACTTCAAGAAGAAGCAACATAGTAGAACTATTGTAGCTTCACTGTGTGAGTTCAGCCTGACGTCACTTGTGCAGTAGCTGTCCATGGTGCTGATCAGGGGTTATGAGGCTCTTATGATAACAGCGTGTCAACGACGCTGTGTGTATAGCATGTGACTAATAATGGGATCAAGAAGGTGCAGGATGTGGTGGAATAAATGGTTTTACTTTAGATACATTCATTATTTTAAACTTAACTCACAATCTAACTTTTTATCAGTCATTGAACATAAACTGTATTTTCTTTAAACAAAACATTTTGGAGCATACTCTACAATCAAGAGCCAGCATCTCGAAAAACTTTCATTAATATATAACAAAAGTATTCATTCTAGTTTTGAGGTTTTTTTTTTTTTTTTTTAAGCAACTGAAACTTTTCTCTCCCTGTTTTGATCAAATAAGAAATGAAGCTCAGTACTGGACTTACAGTAAATGTTTGGCCTCTTCTGTTTTAGCCTCCACAGTGGCTCTAGATGGAAGTTCCTCCAATAACAACAAAAAGAGGAGGATTATCCCTAACCACATTGCCTATCTGAGAGACAAGTTATTGCAAGATGGAGGGTGGAGCTTATTTGTCAAGTGTAACCCTACACCGGACCATCTTTAAAAAAAAAAAAAAGGGAAAAAAGGAAAGGAAGTCCCCCTTAAATCAATGATTATCGATTTCATTAGGCTAAAATAAAGAGCTGTCAAGTGCCCGGAGAGCTGGTGATATGCGACCAGGACGAGCAGCTCAGCGGAGTGATCGACCTACATCGCCACCTGGTGGTTACAAATAAAACATGCATCTCAGTAAATGTAGGCTACTCGAAATAAAAATCAGGGTTTTTAATTGCTAGTACGATACGAGCTCACAACATCAGGCTAATGCATTCGCAGTGGACAGTGTAGCATCAGAATGAATCATGCTCTGTAAGAAAACAGATTCTGCATCCACAATAATAAAAGGAACAAACCTACCTTTGGCAGTAGCCTAACACGAAGGAGTTTCTAGCGCTGGGCAGGGTCGGTGTTTTAAGAAAGCACAGTTATAATCCGAGAGAAGCTTGAAAGAATGTGTGCCTCTGCTCAGCCTGAATACTACAGAGGTCCCATCTGGCTCATCACCTTGTCAATAAACGGTGACTATAATATCGCGAGAACAAGAGTTTTTTTCCGGGGGGGGGGGGGGGGGGGGCTTACTCTGACCCAATTCATTACTCCTACTCCAATTCTTACTTTGCGCCTCATATTTTCGAAAATCATTTTACTGATGATGCTCGTCCAAGAGAGGAGAACATAACGTTAGCTATGAGTACACACAGAATGTTGAAGGTTACTTAATAATAATAATAATAATAATAATAATAATAATAACAACAACAATAATAATAATGATAATAATAATAATACTTGATCTATGACAGTCTAAACAGAACTTAACAGTCTCATAAATGAACTCAATCACTGTCCAGGCACAATCTGGTGAGTTCAGGTAAACCTTAAACCAGAAGACACGCCTCTAAAACAGTGTTCAAGGACCATGCTTCATATATTTACTAACTGTTTGCTCTGTCTTTTGTTGCTTGGGTGTATTTAAGTTGACAGATCAAAGACCATACCCATACCTGTCACTGTGATATGTACTGCCAGTGGGTCCATAAGCTGTTCACAAGCTTTATATTACTTTGCAGAGGATCATCATATAACCTAACCAATTAGTTTTATCCTGTCTCCCTGTTCTGCCCATTGTTTGATGTTTGTGGAAATCTGATTTTACATATATCTACATGTAAATGGCCTGGGCTTAGATCACACTTTTCTAGTCTTTCTGACTACTCAAAGTGCTTTTACACCGCAGGTCACCCCCACCCATTCACACACTGATGGTAGTGATCCATCAGAAGTAACTAATCCCATTTCAGGTTAAGTGTCTTGCCCAATGACACATTGGAAATGTTGCCCAACTCAATAAGCCAAGAATGCTTGACCTTCCTTATAGTGCCCTTATTATTACAGTTTATATTCTAGTAGAGCAAAGTATCAAACAGAACTGCTTTTATGAAATTAAATAAACATTAGGTTGCCTGAATGTCTTTGCCCTTGGTCAGTTTCCAAATGTGCCCAGTTTGTTGGAGATTTTCTTAAAGATGGTTTCTTAGTCTATCAATGATGTAATGATGACTAGTGGGCACTATTCTGCCTAAATATATGACATAACGAGACTAAACATAACTTTAAAAAAAATTGCAAAAAAGATCACAAAAATAGAGAAAAATAAGTATTGTAGAATAACCACCATTTTTAACCCACAGCGCCCTCTGCTGTCAACAACTTAAAACACATGAATGCATGATCTCTAAATTATCTTTCACAGAAAATATTCCTATCTTAGTTTTGTTTCAACTGTATAAGAGTAAATCAAGGAAATATTTTTAAGAAACAAAAAATAAAATAAAGAGCAGTACAAAAAGAAACAAACTCAACAGGCGCTCCATTTCCGGTCCGTCTATCAAATCTTTCCGCCAGCAGCGCGTCTCGTGTGCAAGTCTTTGAATGTGGCGTGTCGCGCTTAATATAACAATAAATATCACACAAGTATATTCAAGCAAACCAGCGAGTGTTTTCCGACTGTTCAATCCAAGAGGTAGCTGCTGTTTGCTCGGCCTCACTCGCACAGAGCTACGTTACATGTCAAGTCAAGCGAAGAGACCCTGCACTGGAAACATGACCGTAAAAAAGATCGGAACCCACAATGGATCCTTCCACTGTGATGAGGTTCTGGCCTGCTTCTTCCTCCGCCAGCTACCGGAGTACAAGGTAGGTCCACTAGTCTGCCATTATAAGAGATTAATTAAGGTTACTTGTATTGTTTCCTGTAACGATCATGTGTTGCTGCTTCTTCAAAATAAAACCTTGCTCACTCACTGCCTCGCACTTTAGGGACTTTTCTTTAGTGTGTATTGATTGGTTGTTGATGCCTTTGTATTGTTTTGTTTGAGACGTTTTTATTTTATTTCCAATAAGCCAATAAATTATGACAGTCCACACGGGGGTGCTGCTGTACAAAAAAATGATGTTGCCAGAAGTACAATATTACACAGCATCTCCATCTCTAGTTTACTAAATGGATTTTGGCTACAAGACTAAACAGCTTGGTTTTTTTAAAAACTGTAATAATTTAGTCTAAAGCAGTGAATTTAAATATAGCGTCAGACAGGTGTTCATGTTCATTAAGAAAAGATTTCAAGCTTATTTTTGTGTGTGAGTTTTTGTCCTACATTTGTGAATTTACTTGCAATTTACATGGTCATGATTGTGCCTACTAGAGCTCGAACCATGCTTGATGATTGATTGACAAAATCCATTCTTTGCACAGGATGCTGAGATCATCCGGACCAGGGACCCGACAAAGCTGTCAGAGTGTGACGTTGTCGTAGACGTGGGAGGAGAGTTTGACCCAACGAGGCATCGATATGACCATCATCAGAGGTACGACTGTGGGAAAGGGCCTTTTAAACTTTAAAATAGCACAAGAGGCCTCGTTCATGTGGGACATGCCGCAGCTGCATATCATAGGTGTGATTAATATTACTCCCAAATGGCTCAATCGTTTAGATGTGCTGGTAAGCCATGTAATTGAGCCAGCCACCATAATTAATCTAGTAAATTACACTTACGCGTTTCCTGCTGTCACATTGTATGGTGCCTGCTGTGAGAAAGACCCGCGTATTATTGGCAGATATAAGTGTGGTTCAGATTTAATAGGCATCGGCTGGAACTGACACATTCTTAAATCGATTAGCGGATCCCCACAAAATGAATTGGTTAGTATTTTGATAGTTGGTTCATGATTTGAAGCACTTATTAAGAAAAACGATAAATACACCCTTGATCAAGCTTAGCAAATGTGTAGATTACCTTTGGCTTTTGGGTTGGTAGAGGAGCAAAAGAAGACATATGCTACAATTGTAGACCTGAGTTGATTCAATAGTTGTCAGTAGATTTATTAAAGTTAAAAGAAATTCAAGTATTTTTCAAGCCAAAAATGCAAAGAAGCCACTTGTACCAGCCCAGCTGTCTTACTGTAAACTGAATCACTTTAGGTTTTGGACTACTTGTCAGACAAAAAAAACAAAGACATTGAAGAAGTCTTCTCAGACATTAAGAAACTGTGATGGATGTTTTCACCAGTTTCAAACATATAATAGATCAAACATTTAATCACAAATCCTATTCCTGAATAATTTCCACTTGAAGACTATTTTGCGTAAACAGCCACTTTTTTCTAACATATTTGAAGACCAAAACAATTAGCTGATCAATTAAGAAAATAATGATAAAGTGATTATTAATTTCCTAATTTGTCGTGGCCTTGTTATCCACGCATTTGAAAGAGATTTTGTACAGAATATTAATCAATTCTCTATCTGCGAAGGAGAAAATGTTTGTTGTAAGGCCTGTGGTTGCTCTCAGTCAAATCACTTCATATTTGGATATTCACATTATCTCGGGTCTAAACGGGACAACGTTCATGTTTCTGTACTGACATCGTTGAAGTGCATAATGAACCAGGAAGGAAAGGGCTCCTTTTTTTTTTCTCTCACGCTCCACTTCCTGCCAAAGTCCCTTCCACATGATTACATTCCCTTCAAGTCTCATCACATTGAGTAATCATCCTTTTGCAGATGTCTTGTCTGCTCAGTGTCTTGAAGATAATCAAAGATAGCTGTTATGACCACGGTGATAAAGATATGCCAGGGCTCTCTTCCTGGCAGGTGGTTAGTGATAATTAGCGCTCCTTCAATTAAGCATGCTCCCCCCCCTGCTGCTGGTTCACGAGGCACCAAGGCTGCCATGGCACTGTCAGGGGCCGCAGGAGAGTGTGGCTGTCACTCACAGGCTGATGGGGGCATGATGGATGTGATGGCAGGGACAGATGTACAAGGGCCGGGTGCTGCAGGATCTAAGAGAGAAGCTGACAGGAATAATTAGTCCTCATTTCAATAGCACTTCTTCAAACTGTGACAGTATACAGATGAGGCTGACAACAACACAAAAACATCACAGTGAGTGTTGTAAATTAAGAGCATGAAATGAAGACCTTAAAGGAGTAGTTCAACACTGGGAGATACTCTGATAAGTGTTTTGATTCAGAGTTGGAGAAGAGTTACATCAAGTTCTGCTCTGTTTAATGTAAAGCCAGCCGCTCAGGGTTTCCCCCTGTGTTTTAAGTCCAGTGCCACACCAGACCTAAGCTGCCCTGCATCTGGCCTGCCGCTTGAGCTTTTTTAATGTTTGGAAAGGTCACCAGCCAAACAGTCACTAATACAGATAAGATAAAAGCCGAAGAACCGTACGCATGTTTTTCAGATGATCAAGTACTGGAGCTAAATTTTACTAAGACAAAGATCTAAGAATTCACGGCTCCACTGAGTCAACGAAGACAGCCACACATCTTTTCTTTTATCAGAACATCTTTGCAAATATTTTATCTGGCCTTTCTCTTTGAAGATAAAAGTCTTAAGCATTGAAGAAAATGGCAGAGGACATCAAGTGGCAAAGCAGATTTTAGAAATACTCTCTGAGCTCTGAATAAAGGTTTATTCATTGATTTATATAAGGAGGGACATCGTACATACATCAACAGAGTCCTTTGCCAGATGTTCTTTGGCGTCACAGAGTTAAATAAAATCCATTTGCATAGATTCAACAGTTTATAAAAATACAGATGCAATACAATCTGGGTAATGAGAACAAATAATATCCAAGATAGGACTTGATACAATTAAAGTTACCATGGGGACAGCATCAGTGTTGACGTTGTTGGTTCTCAATCAACCTTTTTTTAACCTTATATTTAAATGAATGATAGGATGTTGACTGTGTTTGTGGTATTAAATTCCACTGATGTGATGCTCTGAAGGAAAAAAAACACCCTGGCTTAATGTGATTTTGAGTGATATTGTGCAGTCCCCCCTACTGTAGCTGCACCTCTAGTGGTCCTGTTTGTTTATTAAGTTAATAAAGCCAGACAGTTGAGCAGGAGCTAAACCATGAAGAATCTTATAAACTAGGCATTAATAAAAGCACAACAGCCAGCACGGACCCAGAGACTATAATGAGTTTAGTCTCATACAGTCCAGAAGGTCACATTGAGATCTTTATGGATTAAACCCCCCCCCCCCATTTGACTTTTAAAGGACAGCATGATTACCTTGAGTGATCTCAATGCAGTTTGAATTTGATTTCCAATGTTATGTTTTAATTTGACCGAAGTACGGAGAATACAGAGAGCCAAAGACTAAAATAAATAATAAATGTTGTACATGTGCTAAAAGGTTCGAACTGAAATAATTAATTACCAGCCAGGGTCAGGATGACAGGAGGAGTAGAGAGCTGTATGCCGCTATTTTTGCCTCATTCTTCAGATAATGTGGAGTATTATTAATTCTTCTTCATGAAGTGCAGGGGTTTCTGCTAAATCATTAAGTTCCATGTAAAGCATCATTTCACATGTACATACTCTAGTATCGAGCCGCTCAGGACGTAGAGCGATCAGCAGACGTTAGTGGTGCAGGCGATCCACTACATGTTTTTTCTTGGGGAGGGGGGGGGTTATATGCTACATATGTTAAGAAATGTGCTACATTAAAATTACTATTATGGCCAGCTCTTGTTTTAGATTCTACTTCCCTTTACTTAGTTGTGTGCTGTTAATGAGCTGTTACCCATCGTTGGTTTCACACAAACACTTTGATGACTTTTTCCTTTTGTAAGCGTATCTTTTCCACGCGTTCTCTGTCATCTCCCTCCCTCCCGCTCTTTCACTCCAACCTCCTGATAATTAGCATAGAAATGCCTCAGCTTGGCCAATTAGCCCTCTAATGGCTCTGCTCACCCCCCCTGCTTCCCTTGCATGTCACTCATTTATTTGACAGTCAGTTTTCCGCTGTGCTGCAGCCCAAGCATCCTAATTAAGCCTGTGTTAAATGACCAGCGGTGGCCTGGTTGCTGGAGCCCACCCATCTCAGCACGTGGCTGAGGAGAAAGACCTCCGGTGGCTTTTATTCATGTGCCAGCACGCTCACAAACACAGCAGAGCATGATTTCTCCCTCCAGCACATGCCAACTCTCTCTCTCTCTCTCTGTATCTGAGGGCGAGATTGATGGAGTCATGTGTGTTTTATTGGTTTCTGGTACAGTAATGTGCGGTGTACGGCTGACATTTTATTGAAAGGTCCAGTTATTGGAAAATATGTGAGTTGTCTGTTTATGAGCAGTGCAGTCAGGTTTTCTAAGTCCTGACCCGAGTATTGAGTGCTGGATGCCGCAGTGTTTCTCAGCTTTGGTGTGAGATGATATCATTTTATTTTAGATGTAACATGACTCTTGGAGCAGAACTAGACGACTGAAATATTGCTATCAGACCGACAAGCTGACCTGACACATCAGCTCATCATCTGATTTCATTAGATCATTTTATTATAGCAGTAATTTATATCGACTGCTCAGTTTGTTATGAAGCTGGATATTAGAGGTTTAATGAGTATCTAAATGAATCAATGCAACATTTAAGTAATGAACGATTCAATAAGATCAATACGAATGGGAACATCAACTATCATCGTAATCTTTAAGCTACATCTTTCTAAGGACATTTACATGGCCCCCGGTCTGTCTGTCCCTTTTTAGACCAATAATTAACAGTTAACCGGTTATTTCTCTGTTTATGGACTCGTCGCCTAATCCTCGCGGTCCTACATTTTAATATGCATTGTTCTGCTGTAGATGTTGGATGTTTAAATGAAGATGATAATAATGATGTCCACTAAAGGTTTAAGGATGATCGGCTAATTAGTAACCAGCAACACATCCAAATATGTTCATAATATAGAGTGGACACTTGAAGTTATCTGATTTATAATATTGAATAAAAATCAGCTGGCATCATTTCATAAACCTGAATTCATCGATTGAGCAAAACCTCTTTATTGAAGTCACTCTTTAAGGCTTACACAGTTAAGCGATTTAAATAATAAAGTGAAACTAAGTAGTCTTTAAATCTGCTTCTGCAGTGAGCAGTTTCCTACATTCTGGGTCCAGGGTTAGGGTTAGGGTTAGGGATAGGATGCATGACATTGAAGTTATCTCACACAACAATGTACATACAAGAAATAAAAAGATTTTATATGATAACCCTTTTCACTCCCTGTATATATAGAATACTGGCTGGGTGTTGAAAGGTATTTTTTTTTCCTGTTTCTTCATTCAGGACCTTTTCAGAGACCTTCAACAGCTTGTGTCCAGAGAAGCCATGGGTGACCAAGCTCAGCTCAGCAGGCCTGGTCTACCTCCACTTTGGTCGTCAGCTGCTGGCCCAGCTGACGAAGCTGAAGGAGGAAGACAGGCAGCTGGAGGTGCTCTTTGACAAGGTGAGAAGAGGAGGAGGACAACGAAGACAACATATTTATTGCAGGCAGGGAAACAGCAACCATTGTGTCCTTTTTACAACACCAACACTTCAGACGATTTCCCCTTGCTGAAATGTATCAAAAACGTAGGAGCTGAACCTTGCATCATATTCATCATGACGTTGGACAACAGAAAGTTCTACAAGGATTCAAAGGGGAAAGCTTATATATCCGTAAGATGAATAATGATGGAATTTAAAGATCCTTATCTTTTTTGCACTTGGTCCATGATGGTTAGCAGTATCCATGCAGTCACTGTCTATAGATAATCCTCAACACTTTATCTGAAGTCTAGTTCATTGAGTTCGAGAATAAATAAAGGTTTGAAATGAAATTGCATGTTCCCTTTATCAGACAGTTGGCAGTAAAATGTGATAAGAAATAGAATACTAAAGACACAGATGTCGCAAAGTTTCCCTGCTATGTCTAAACCGAGGACGCTACAGTTATATCTAAAGTGTTTCAGACAGCCGGACCAGCGGGAGACGTCAGCACACACACAACATTCTCATGTCCAGGCTCATAAGCCCTCTAAATCTTATGTCACTTTTAATATAAGCACTATTAGCTTATGCTATCCTTGGCTTTCTTTGGTGTGTCGGTTTGTTTAAAGCCCCAAGTAATCCCTTTACTCACGGCCGGGGATTTATTAATTTGTTGGATGTCTCGTGCCCTCTTGGAGTGCAGACATGCTGATCCTCTTTTTTTATAGCCCCAAAAACTTAGTTCCACTTGTAAGCCACTTGTTAAAATGTCAACTCTTTGGTGATTGACCTTCAGCTCTTCTTAGGAGTTTTCGGCACCAGAAAGGGCTCTACTTCTCCGCTCCTCTACTTCTTCTTTTTAGAGTTTTTCCTTGTGAACTGTAGAAGTAGAGGCCGTTTGTCTTGTCTGTTTTTCGTTCGTCTGAACTAGCCGTGCACTTAAGCCTGTGACCAATCAGCATATCAATCAGCATAATGTAATTAAAGTAAAGTCTTTTTAACTTCCCTGGCTTGAGTGATGTAGGCTTTACTGCCTATTTGTCCTTTTCAAAAATGAGCATAAAACGGCTGTGTCTCGTGTCATTACAGGTTCTTAACCTCTCCATCACATGTTTCTGTCTCTTCCTTGCAGCTGTATGACAACTTTGTGGAGGAGGTGGATGCTGTAGACAACGGCATCTCACAATACGACGGGGAGGCCCGCTACTCCGTCTCCTCCACGCTGAGCGCACGTGTCGGCCACCTGAACCCACGCTGGAACAGCAAGAGTCAGGACACCGAGGTGAGGGCTGTGTGAGTGTGCATGAATGCCCTCACTTAGCACGCACTCTGGTCTGCTGCAGCACGCTGCTTTTACAAATGGGAGATGAAAACAGAATGTTCGGGCTTTAGCTTAAATGTCTGATTACGCATAATGTGTAAATGTACAGAGGGACTGAAACTTGAGGGCAATGGTTGCAATAATTTCCAGGGTTGATTTCTGACATAAGGATTGAAGAGTAAGGGATAAAATAGATTTAGATTGAAGAGTTATTGTGTTTGAAAAAAAAATGATGATTGACATGATGATTGTTCACCATTTTCTGACAGATTATGGACCAACAACAAATCAATTAATCAAGAACATTTTTGACACATTTATTGACAGTAAAGCAGCAATATGTAAGATATTTACTGTGTCAAATCATAAAATGACCTTACTATTTCATCGGACATTAAGAAAACATGCTATGTTGAAGTGCTGCCGTCTCTGTTAACAGTGCAGCAGCCACTGTTAACAGTGCAGCAGCCAGTATGTCCTCCTTCTGAGTTTAGATTCCAGTCCGGAGGTTTTAAGGCACCCCCACACGGCCATTTTTACCCCTCGCAGGTGTTGCAGTAATGGAAGCAGGAAAGCTAACAGGTTCTGGTTCAGATATAACTGATTCTACCCGACCTAAAAAGCCTCTGCTTTTGTCTAATAAGCTCCTCGGCCGATGCAGAGCTGGCTAAACACTGAAGCTTCTGTGTCTGTGACATGGCAACCTGCGTGCACATCAACTCTAGGGGTGAGAGTTACATATTGCTCCTTTAAAACTAATCCTAAATAACAACCTTCCACAGATTAAATTGTGTTAAAATGTGAGAAATTCTAACTCACTTGTAATTAAAATGGTGATGTCAAGTGTTTGACACCCTCATGTCATAAAAAGGAGGAGTGCGAACGTGAAAGAGACGTGAACCACAAGGAGACGTCAGGTTTTTCTGCAGTAAAGGGTGAGTCTAAAAAGGCAGGATTAGATCACAGTAAATAATGAACCCTTCTGACTCACATTCAGAATGTGCCGGTTCTTTGTTCATAAAAGCCAGTTTGTCTAATGATAGGTTGTACGTTAGTGTTTCATGAAGCTCTGTGGATACAGTAAATATGTGTGTAATCACTGCTTGCATTTCTACAGTGTAATTCAAAAGCACTCTCGGTTTTACTGCGTTTACATGATTATGTCTGTAGAAGGGAAAGCAAAACTACAATTCAGCCCCTTTCAGCCGATTTTCAAAACACTGATGTTAATATTTGTATCCTCGTCTTCTCTCGTAGCTCACCTCAGATTTAATTTGAATACACATAACGCTTACTTTTTCAAACCTTTTTTACTCTGGAGCTACAAGGTGCATATAATCCACCTTTCTGAAGATGCAACAGAACAGCCATCCTCAATGTTGTTGAATGAAATGGTTGGACAATGAACTGTCTGACGACGAATAACGCTCACAACGTTTCCTGAAGGCCAAACTGACATCTTCAAATTGTTTTCAAATGTCGATTTATCCGTCCTTCCAAACAGTCAAAACACACAAACATACTGTCCTGACAAGTGCTCACAACCAGAGGGGCTGGTTCTGCTTATGTGATGCTTGAAAAATGGACGTAGTTGCTGATTAATTCTCTCATTAAGGGATTTTCCCAGCCAATCTTAAATCTAACATGGAACAAACACCAAGAAGGCTACAAACCAAATTATCCACAGCACAAGCTTATTCACATAAATATCATTATAGAAACGCTGTAAGACAACAAACGGAACAATGACTGAATGATGACTCACTTAACCTTTTGGTTGATGACTCAGTGAGCTGATGCCCTTGTGTCCCTTTTTATTTTTAAACCTTGATATTTAACAATGGATCCTTCCACAGTATGGAGCCAAATTTAAATAAAGGGCTTTTTTTTAAATATGGGCACACCCATTTAAAAAAAAAAAAAACATTCGGAAAAATCCTGCAGTGAAACACCTCCAGTTTTCTGCAAACTCTATTGAGATACCTGAAGCCCATATTTGATTTTCCTTTGCTGAGTTTCTCCCTGATGTGCACATAGGCTGTTTGTTTTCTCACATTTCACTTCACATGATTATGATTCTTGTCCCAGAACTTTCCTCCAATTTCCCCACCATCTTACTCTGCACAGTGAGAAAGAAGGCTCTGAGAGATCGGAGAGACATTTATTGGAAACGGTTTGGCAGAGAACTTGATGGTAGAGTGACCTGGAGATCTCTCAGCAGGGACTGTTTGTGATCCAAGTAGATGTTTCATCTCCTCCATCCACCAGTCAGAAAATCAGAGGCACTGCACCTGCCTCGATCAGATGCTGAGGATCAGACTTGTGCCTGACAAACTTTGAGTCTGTGTGTGTGCAGGTGATCATGAGAGATTGTGTTTACGACCCTCAGACTTTCTCATGTGCATTTCCATTTCCATTAACTAGACTGTGATAGAAAGGTCAGTTTAGGGTCTTTAGGTCTTGACGTTTAACTGAATTTGAGTTCACAGATGGTGTTGAAGTAATAAAAGAGTTTTTTCCCCATCACATCTAAAGTCTTGTCAGCTGTAAAAAGTAGGCGTGTCAAGGCTTTTATGAATGGAGAGGCCCAACTGGGGCACTGACTTATGTATGGGTGGTCTTAAGTGTGACGTCCACACACGCATACACAAGAATCTCATCCATTACCCTTTCTAACGCCACTAATTTAATCTACTTTTATGTAACCCAGGAGTGGCAACATAATGTATATCTTCTTGGCCTACTTTTTAAGGACTCTAAAACAAAGATGTGAGAAATCACACTTTTAAACTAATGATGGATTTAAAACTCCTGCATACTGATTGGCATGTTTCATTACTGAACAAATTGCTTCATTACAATCCAGTGGTATGCACCTGTCTTATAAAACTGATGTGCAGGGTATATTTACAATTTAAAGAACATCAAATAAAATTTTACATTAACACATAAAGAAACTACTTGAAACATGTTGCAAAAAAAAAAAAAAAGAGTCAGAATTAATTGACAAGGCAAATAGCCAATCTTAGTTTAGGAATTTAGGGCTGGTCCCTGGGGTGGCAAATCAGATTTCAAGGGGGGTCAATGCCACCCCCTGGCAAAGCCCCCTGACCACACCCCCTGGCTGTAAAAAAGCAGCACCTCTATACCTTACCCTATAATATGATGTTGTTTGTGTTGTGTTGGTTATTTTGAGATTGTCTTCTCTTGTTTGACATGTGTTATATACATTTTTATGATTTTATTGTTGACATTACATTCTGACACTGTATTTAATAACTGCATGCCTGTGTGCCTTGTTTTTACCAGGAGGGTTTCAGACAGGCCATGAAGATGGTCGGAGAGGAGTTCCTGGACCGTCTGGAGTTCTATCAGTCCTCCTGGTTTCCGGCTCGTGAGGTGGTGGAGAAAGCCATCAAAGAGCGACATCAGGTAATATCTCATCTGGACATTTTCATTTCAACTTAGCAATGTTACACCGACTTCAGTCATCAAAAGGAAAATTCTAAATCAGTCAGAAGCAATCATTCATCAGTGACTGTTCAAGTTATAAGTTATGAATATTCAGTATTAGAATGAATCAATCGCGAATCAGCACTCTGTGATCTATGCAGAAATAATAATAGTCTGTATGAGGAGCCAAAAGCAGGTGGTATGGAATCTGTTGTGGTCACATCCGGCCTCTCATCTGCTGTTTTCTGACGCCTTTAAAATAAAATAAAAACTCCATTCTAGATTAAAAAAATCAACTAGAGCGGAACATCTGCTTCAGACTGTGTCACAAAAACAGTCAGCTTCAGGTTTCATCACTTCTGAAATGCATCAAAGTGATAGATACCACCTCCATTCATTGCTTGCATTTGAATTTTTTACAAATCTTTATCATGATGTTGTTAATCCGTTTTTTTTCCTTCTTTTTCTTGGTACTGGTAAGCAGGAGTGCTAGAGTGCTAAAGTTTGCCAAGTAATTTAATTTAATTTACATACTTTATTGATCCCTGAGGGAAATTCTGGTTCACTGTTATTTTAGAGACATGCTTCTCACACACATGCACAAACAGGATCTGTGGACATGCGTTAGTGGATAGATCAGAGTGGGGCTGCTACACACTGCTACCCAGGGAGTTTACCAGAGTTGTTGGGGGTTTGGTGCCTTGCTCAAGTACCTCTGCGGTACTCAGTCAGTGCCCTTGCACCTCTACAACTACCAGACCAATGTCCATATTATGGTCCGCATCGGGACTTGAACCGGCGACCCCCCTGTTCTCAACCCAAGTCCCTACAGACTGGAGAGGTACCAGTTTCCAAGGTACCCTTGAACAAGGCAGCAGAAACCCCAACTGCTCGGGCGCTTTTTCATGCAGCCCCTCACTCTGGCATCTTTCCTTTAATCCATGTCCATAGGATGTGTATGTACTATGTCTCAACAACAGAGTGTAAAATAGAATTTACCCACGAGGGCTCAATAAAGGATATCTTTTCTTTCATAGCTTAAATATTCATCAATTAATTATTCTCTTCTGTTTGTCCCCATTTTCTACAGAAAACTGCAACCGCTCTTTTCTCATTGAAGTTGTGGGCCTACACTCATTGTTTCTAACCTTTCATCTTGCCAATTAGTAACTCACATTTGTCTCTTCCTGTTTCCAGGTGGATCCCAGTGGGGAGGTGGTGTTGTTCTCCCTGGGTGGATGTCCTTGGAAGGAGCATCTTTTCTCTCTGGAGAAGGAGCTCCAGGTGGAGACACCAATCAAGTTTGTCCTTTATGCCGACCAGAACGGACAGTGGAGGGTCCAGTGTGTCCCCGCTGGACTCAACACTTTCCAGAACAGGTAGAGCTTCATTAAGTCTGTTTTCAGTTAATTCAATGAGACTTAAAAATAAGATGTACCTCATGAAAAATAAGTCCATTTTAAGTGTAGAGGGAGCACCTTGCACTAGTTACTCTTCAAACATGCAGAACTCACAGAGATGTTGTGACACTTACTCACACACAAGAGGTTCTCCCTGACTGGATTTTATTTAAACTTTGGTAAAAAAATAAATTAAAAAAAAAAAAAAAACACAGCAGCAGGCACAAACCCGGAGTCTCCCAGACGTGTTGTATTGAGTTTAGCTCTGGTGACGGAGAAGAACTGTGGTGTATGATTTAACTTTCATGCTTATTGGACCATTTGACAACTACTCACGGAGGGCTGACGTTTCATCCAGTGAGAGAGTAACTCTTGCATGGGCTGACGACTTGTTTTGATGATGATTTTGTTAAAGCAGTGGTTTTGTCTCAAACCGACCTATAGGGAGTTGAAAGAATGTAAACAGATCCAACTCTTTAAAGGCACCTGAGGCCTTTATCCGTGCTCACACCTCTCACTCTGATGTTTCTTTTGTGTTCTTTATGTAAATACAGCTCTCGGCAGAGACACTGTTCAGGCTGTCTTTGTCATTTTAAGCTTCTTACAATCAGGATTTGCATGAACGTGAAAGTCATGCCCCATGGAAAATCTCTAATTGAAAGCCTGTTCTATGTTTACGATGTTTTTCACTCAGAAGTTAGAAATTTGTTTACTGGTTTTACCGTCCCAATTAATCTTTTATATATAATCACAAAAACATCAATGGTTTTTACGTGCTTAGGGTACAAAATTAAGGCAGGCTCCCAAAGCCAACTAAACCCCATTACATCCAATATAAAAATAGCCATTTTGACAGCAGGACAAACATCCATCCATCCATCCATTTTCTTCCCCTTTTCGAGGTCGGGTCGCGGTGGCAGCAAGCACATTAAGTCAAACCAGACTTCACTCGCTCCAGCAATGTTTTCCATCTCCTCCTGGGGGATTCCGATGTGTTTGCAGGCCAAACGGGATACATAATCCCTCCAGCAAACACTGGGTCTATCTCAGGGTTTCCTCCCAGTTGGGCGTGCCAGGAGTCGAACATGTTTACAGCCTGGTACAAAAACAGTTATAGTCTCTTTATCTAATTTATTCAACTCTAAGTTTAAAAAAAACAAACTCTTGTCTGATTACATAAACGCTAAAAGTTATGCATGATTAAGCATATTGAGGGGCGTGGTGGATTTGACTGACAGGAGGGCATGTTGTAGCTGTTTGCCAGGAGGTTTAAGGACCGTCTCAGGTCCAACTCTTTGCCTGTGTCTTGACTGTTTCAAATTTTGGTTGACATAGCATTTCCAATATTGCGACCACCTTCATTGGGTTTCTTAAGGCCTCTTCAAAAACAAATGGCTGACGTCATCGACACTATGTTCATGTTTTATACAGTCAATGAGTAAGACAAAACCAATTAGCCAAACCAAGACAGTTAGAAACTCCATAAACGTAAGAAGCCAACAGTCTCGCTGCTCTGTAAGACTGTATTATGGAACAGTAGTACTTGTGCTTACTGCTAGAACCAGCTTGCTAAAATGTACACAAAGACAATGGAAACAGGCTCATATTTGGCAGATATATTCACTGCTTTAATCAAGCATCTAAGCTAAAGCTGGAACAGTAACTAAAAACAGAAAGCACAGCTGATTCTGATTGGATTGGCATGAGTTTTGCAGGTATGTGGTCATAAATGAAATTATTTGACAGAACTTAAAATTCACCAAATATATTTCAATCAATCCAGAGGGAAGCATAAATGTGGATACCATATTTAAACAGTAAGCCGTTTTACTTCAAGCACCAAATTCAACATCATGGAGGTGCTTACGGAGAAATCCTGGCATTACCAAAGTCTGAAGGATAAATCGCCAACCATGACTTCACTAAGTTTCATAGCCATCCATCAATCATTTGTTGAGCTGTTTAACTCTGGACAGTTTGAAGGTTTATACTCGGGACTTCTGCACTGTATTTAACATCTGCTGCTCATTAGCTAATTCAGAAGCTGCTACTTCTGTGTCACACTTGCCGACAAAAAGTTTCAGTCAATTTGTTATGAATGCTCATATGAAAAACCTCCAGAGTATCTGAGTTCTGCTGAAGCTCCTATGCTTCTAAATGAATGCAACAAACCTTTGTGTTGGCTGATACTTTTATGAAGATTCAAGGTTTTTTTTTCTCCAACTTTTATGCTATCATATTATCTTTGACCCTTTTATCTGTCATTGATATACTTTAATGGCCTTTGCACTATGAATCACTTTGAATTGTCTCCCTTTACCTTTTTGTGTGCACAGCTCCCTGTTGTTGTTGTTGTTGTTGTTGTTGTTTTGAAGCCTTTCTGCATCTTTTAGCATAATAAGGTCCCTCAAACTCACGAGCCCAGCACTTGCGCCAAAGTTACCTCATCGGTGCTCTAGTTCTTTCACTCTGTAATGATGAGAAGAAGGCGCTCTTTGTGAATTTGTCACTTGATTAACTCCTTTAAAGTCTGTGTTCGAGTCGTTACCTCTGGAAGGGAATTGTTTACCTGAGGAGCCTCTCAAGCTGGGACTCACAACGCGTCTCTAAATACGTCATCAGCATCCCCTCTGGAGCTGGTTTGTTGCTTGACTGCGGCATGAATTCCCAACTTGCTGCACATGTGGTTGTTGTATGGCCAGGTTATCTTCAGTAGAGGGCTTTGTCTTTCTAGTTGATTGGGTTTCTGGGGGTTGTTGTTGGTTAAAACCATTTTATGGCTTATAATGTACCAGATACTGACTGGTCATTAGCTGCTGGCTAGGATTCTTTATCTGGATGTTTGATTACATGTGCTATTAATACTGACCACCTTTCTGCACAGTGGTAGCAGTGAGTCTTCATTATGTGCACTTAAGCACAAGTGATTAGGAGTAATTAGAACAGCTTGGCTTCGGGATTGGTTCCAATAGCTGGTTCCATTTTGAATCCAGTTTCTTTGTTTGAAAATAACACATTCATAAAGCTCCTACTCTTATTAGGCTCTCATCAACCGTGTCCTCTCTATCCTTTATCAGAAGAGCAATGTTCAGCATATCTATATTGTTATAATCGTTTTTCTAATTTTATGAAATACAAATCAAAATTCAAAAACTCATGGTGACAAAATGCTGTACGACCAAGGCAGGAAGTAAGATTCAAATAAAACCACAACAAAGGACAAAGATACACAACACAATACATACACAATAATACACAAATACTGACCGAAATGAAATGTAAGAATGAAAACGAACAAGAAAAAATTAAAAACCCCAAACAGAATCATAATAAACACATTTCTATAATTTAATTATAGAACAATAGGAAGAGTCAATTCAATTCAATTCAATTTATTTGTATAGCGTCAACTCATAACAAGTGTTATCTCAAGGTCAGCTTGGATTGAACGCCACCGAGAAGATGATCATTTGACCGAAACCTTAATTCTGCCGCCTTGGCCAGGACTCTCTTTAAAATGAGATCTTGTATCTGAGTGAGATGAGTCTCAGTTAAGACGAGAAAATGTCAAGACACTGAACAGTTCTTATATTACTGAAGAGGATTAGGGCCACTAGAAAAAATGTTTTTGGGGTTCTGACTTTTTTCTCAGAATTCTAAAGACTAAAGTCAGAATAAAAAAATAAAAAGTCAGAACCCACATTTTTATTTCCAGTGGCCCTAATCCTCTTCAGTATAGATAGTTAGACTGTTCAATATCTCAGGAGTTGCCTCCTCAAAGGCTCGATCCCCTCTATTTCTAAGTCTCAATATCTAAACAGCTGAGAGGAAGTGGTCGGTCAACCTTTGTGCTCTAACTGGAGTATGATACTCTAAGAGGTCGAGATAAGAGGGTGGCATTCCGTTTAAATCAATAAAATCTTAAAACCAATCTTGAAACAAAAACTGGTTTTGATCCTGGTATTGTTACTCTGATTCTCCCCTTGGTTTCTCTTCTTCTACTGCTACTTCTGCTCACTTTGTACTTTTGTACTTCTAGTACAGACAAAATATTTTTTTGTAACTCTAACGCTGCTCTTTCGGGGTTTCTACCTTTTTTTTAGACCAAGCATGAGACATCACAATCACAGCAGATGGTCTCTTTGCCACTAACCTCCCTGACCACTGTGTTCTTTCAAACGTCTTGTTACCTCTGACTCAATGTGGCGTCACGCTGTTACCCTGCATTTTACGTGGCTCATTATTGACACAGAAGGATGTTGAAATATCTTTTTGATTGAGCCCTGATCTGACCAGCAGCTGCTATTTTTTCACCTCTCTCTTTGACATCTGCTTGCTCTCTTAGTGTTTCTTCTCTCTCTCTCTCTCTCTCTCTTTCGTGTCCATTCTATCATCACCCTCCCCCATTTCATCACCTTTTTCCAATCTGTCCTGCTCTCTTCCCATTAATCCTCTTTCTCCCTCCTTATCCTCCGTCTGACCATATCTCGCCTTCTCACCTTTCACACCCTCCCTCCCTCTCCTCATCCCTCTGCCCTCTGTTAGATTTGTCTTTTTTCCACTCCACTGCAGAATCTCATCAGGCGGAAGCACTTTCAACTAAAAAAGGCCGGCACCTGTTTGGTGTGGCTGCTCACTTCAAAGATTTAATGTAATGCAAACATGGCGGTTGGTGAGGAGCTACATGAGAACAATGTGGTGTAAAAACGCTCGCTCCAGATGGCTCTTTCTCTGGGCGGCCTGCTTCCTCTCAGTGGGCATGTGCCGACTCTGGGAAAAGGGTGTTGTTATCACCTGTGTTCCTGCTATTGCACCTGAGGAGGAGGAGGGGTGGAGGTCTATTTTTATCTGCATCACATTGCTAAGGAAAATGTGAGTGGGGAAAGAGGAAGAGGGAAGTAAGAGAAACAGCAGTCATTCCTCAGTGTGAGCTGTGTAGAATAAACTGTAGAATGACAGCAATATGTGCTGAAAAATGGAAATGTCTCTATTTCTGAAAAAGCACATGAGCTGATTTCACAGGGAGCTGCTGGGCCTCAAGGTTAGGATCAATAATAAGGATTCAATCTTTTTTTTGGGTTTACTTATCATTTGGCCAAATAAATAAATAACCCTAACCCAAAACCAGAATTTAGACTTGAACTGAAGAATTAAAATTGCCCTCAAAAAGTAAAAGTGTAGTGTTAATGTATTTATTCACTGCAGTCTGGTGTCACCTCTTATCACGCTTTATCTCTTAACTGATTTTCACCTCTATCTGAAATGATCTCTCTGTCTTCGTTTTTTCCTGCTGTCTACTTCTTCTTCTGCCAGTGACTTCTACCCTCGTTCATGTCAGAGGTGCCAACGTGATGAGTCATGAAGTAGTGATGCGACGATTCAGATCGTCAGGGAAATCTGTTTAGAGAGCCCAGTGGCACCAGTGAGTCAATAATGGTGTCACACTAGTCAAGACGACGATACATTGTCATCATGAGTAAAAGAAAACAGCACACCTTCATATAGAACAAAGATGTTTGACCTTTAAAACATTTAATATTGCTGGTTATTTGTTTTAAATCGATAAATTTGTAAAAACTAAAGAATTAAAGGCAATACTGGTTACTTGATATTTTCTATTTTTAATAATAACACACCAACATGTCCAGCTTCCATCTATAAGGATTCACATCAATTCCTCTCATACAGTATCTAAACCTGTCCTCGTAATAATAATAAAAATATATTTCATTTGAAGGCGACTTTGAAAACACTCAAGGTCACCCTACAAAGCAGAGATAAAAATGAACAAAGAGAAATAAATTGATCAAATTAAAAAGACACATTTACAGTATCAATCATTGTGAAGAGGATTCACGAGGCAGGATGGATAATGGTCAGACTGAACAATTTAAAAAGATGTGTTTTGGGATTTTAAAATGGAGAGAGTCAATATTAGGGATGTCTGGTGGGAGGGAGTTCCAGAAGCGGGGGGGGGGCTGAGCGGCAGAAGGCTCTGGACCCCATGGTGGGCAGGCGGGCGGGTGGTGTAGTGATTTAAATGGAAGAAGAAGACCTGAGAGTGCAGCTGGGTGTGTTGATGTGCAGGAGTTCAGAGAGGTGCAGAGGAGTGAGGTTATGAATGGCCACATATCCAAACCTGTTCTCACATAACATAAGCCACAAATAGCTTACTTATTATTTTTAATAATCCTAATAATTTATATATTTTTTCTCTATTTTATTTGTAGATATTTAATCTCAACCCTTATTCACATTGAGTTTGTGCTATACAAATAAAAATGAATTGAATTATTCCAGACTCTTCTAAATCATAACAATCATTACTTTTACTTGCCTGTGTATCTGTCCATGTGTCAGCTTTTTTGTCTCAATATGCCATTTTCTGTGCCTCATTATCTCATCATTGGGGATAAAAAGCCAGTTATGAGGAGCGGAACATTTTAATTGCAGTAAGGAAGTGATGAATCCAAATGGACTCCATGTCATTTCCCTCTGAAAGGAGAAAATTACATTTTTTTCTCCCCCCCCCTTCTTGGCAATTCAGTGATTTTTTTTTTTTTTTTTTTTTTTTTTGGCCAAATCTCCAGTTTGGGCAAAAAAAAAAAAAAAATGTGTGAAGGGTGTAAAATCTCTGTGCCGCCCAAGAATTATGAGCTCTAGGAGGATTCAAAATGTTTGCATGTTTACAAGCGTCTCTTACTGTCCTCTCAAAGAAGACAATTGTACAAAAGCTCCATATGATCCGTCTGAACACATGCAACACATTTGCTGCTTTAATGACCTTTTATCAGCACTAAATCTCATCATGATTACATTTTTTTTCGTCTAATTATGTAGTCATACCCAGTGTGTGCCTTGTTATGGTATAGAAAAGGTCTTGAGGAGTTAATTTTCTAATTGTGGGCTTATTTTTAGAGTGGTCATCTTGAGAACCGGAGCTTCCTGGCCCTGTCATAACAGCAGTCACCCTCCTCCCACTCTCTCCCTCATTACCAGCCCTGTTGACCTTTCCTCTTGAGCTCGTTTTCCAGCCATACTGTGGAGCAATCGATTGGTTGATTCATTTAACAGGGATTAGGGGTTCGGCCTGCTGTTCCTCCCCAGGTTCTCCTGTGGCAGTCTTAATAAGGATAAGATCTTGTAGACTGGAGATAATGACAGGGAGAGAAGACTCACTGGGGGGGGGGGGTTTGAATGTACACGTTTTAGCGCACATGTCCCATCGCTCGACATTCTAGTTCACTTTTGTACTTGTGACTTTCCTCACTTTCAGATTTACTACAGCTTCAGAGGATGATACAGGATGATGTTATCAAAGATTGAAGGGGAAGCAGAGCATCAGGGAAATAAACCCTTCAAAATATGAAACAGGAGAAAACACTTTACTCAGATGTTCAACAGACATGTCACTTTCTGTCTGACAAGCCAGGCTGCGCAGTTCCATATTTCATCCAGCATGTGATGCAGAGAGGAGCCCTGAGGTTGGAGCCCTCCAACCCAGGAAGACTATAGCCTCAGTATATGGGGCGCAACCTAACCATTAGGCCAACCCGCTCCCTTTTCATCTAGTTTGAAGGCGTTAAAAACCCTTTCAGCAGTAGTGGAGGTGCTGAGGGTGAGCAATGAAGTGAAAAATCTGAATTAGATCAAATTATCATAAACTTAAAAGTGTCAATACTCTGAGAAGAAAAATTGTCAGAGAGAATGGAGATAACACCCTAAAGCGAGGAGGTAATGTGTTTTAAACGATGTGCCGGGCTGTAGACAGAGGTGCACCTTGAATGCAGCAGGTGGTAAATGAGCTACTCTACATTCATATGAATTTTTCAGCCCCTGAACGTCTCGTCCGACTCGACTCTCTGTCTCTAGGTCAGCTCGTAAACCCGCAATCTCTTTCCCACTTTGTAGGATTGCCTGTTGACTCCATCGTATGGCTGTCCAACTGCCGTGACAATCTGTGATTTTCCACATTACTGGAGAAGAAGAAAGACGGGGGCAGTTATTGGTCTTTTTGCGGGGGCTTATTATGGTACTTCTTCGCCTGTGAGGGTTCCTGCAGTTTACCTTTGAGGCCAGGAGTGTACCTAGGACCCTTTAAGTCAGGTAGAGCGAGAGTAATTCAGGTCTTTGTGCAAGGCCATGAAAGGAAAGGGAATCATGTTTTTTTAAATTTTTTATAATTTACTGTAGAATACAATACAATAGAATGCCTCTATTTCTTTATTGATGCACTCATACAATATAAAAACAGCATCAGCAAGCAGACAGAAATAAAGACAAATAAAACAGGTAGGTCAGGTCTGTAGGTCAGTGAATAAATGTCAGTTTGTGTTCCTATGAAAAGATATTGCACAGTCTCAGTCTCAGTGTTAGTTATTGCCCATTCTTCATTCCTTTGTTTTTTTGGGGGGGGGTATTTTTCTTAAAACCCATTGCAGTAGTGCTGCAGGTAAGACTTTCCCATCAAAGATTACTTCTCTGTTTACTCTACAATAATTAGTGTCAGAAAAAAATTGCAAATTACAAATTTGAACACTCTTTGAAAGCCTGATTTTGTCCGACTTACAGTCCAAAAACACAAACAATTTTTTACGATGAGCAAGCAAACTGTTGGTACTCTTTGTTCAAAAATGACTGACGATGGAGTGATGACCAAACTTTGTCTACCTGCCACTTGGATTTCTGTCCTATGTTAACCTGATATTGTTCTTTTCTTGATTTTTAGTTGACATTCTTCATCGGTCTTCAGCTGGTTTAATAGTTTGAATGTTCTGGTTGTGCAGACATGCAGAGCAGATTGTGTTTCAGAAAAAGCATTGTGTCAGCATAAAGCGAGCCGATGACCACGTAGCCGCCATCTGTAACCCTTCTGTCTTCCTGTCCAAGGCTGTCCCTGCTCGAGGAGTGGCGCGGCGTTCGTGACGAGGCGCTATCCGAGCTCAGTGGGATTAAATCCTGCATCTTCGTCCACTCCTCGGGCTTTATTGGCGGGAACAAGACGCAGGAAGGAGCCCTGGAGATGGCCCGCAGGACCCTGCAGGCTGCCGCCCAGTCCCCTGCTAACGGGAGCAGCTGAATACACAGAGAGTAAAGGGGAGAGGCCGGCCAATGGCACATTTTATTCTCTGGCTGATCTTAAGAGAAGAGAGCTAGGATTATTGTGTTAGTTTTTTCTAGCTTGCAGCTTGTTTATCCCAGCCAGGGCTAATGTTGTTTTGTTCGTCTGTGCCAGGTTTGGGATGCTAATGGAAGCCAAATAACCTTGGACCGGTTCCCTAAATACCCATATTCCAACACGCTCTCTCTGAATCCTAATGTCGACTCTCTTATCATCTCTGCTTGTTCATGTTAACGTGTTTTTGTTTTGGTCCTTTTGCAATAAAAGACTATTTAGAATACATGTTTGTCCTTTGTAAACATTGAAGTTTTAGTTTAAGCTTTATATCTCCTCTTTCACTGTCAGGGGAATGTGATGCAGACAGTATTTCCTCCTTTACCTTTCAAGGGGTCGACTCATACAAGACACCTTCATTTCCAGCATGCTGACATTAACTGTTGCACTCAAAAGAGACACGCGCGCTACTTCCTCTGGCTCTGACATCAAAGCACCAATAATAAGGCTTGATTAATTCGGAGGAATTGAATTTCCACAAAGAGCTGCTCCTTTTGGCAGCCGCAGTCATGACGAGGTTGCCACAGTGTGACGAGACTTGCACTCTATTTCCCCATTACAAAAGACTTGGGGGGGGGGGGGGGGGGGTGCCTTGAATTTTCTCATGAATATTCCAGATTTTCTTCTCTACGTGTTACTCCTCCCTCATTGCATTCTCCACACAAGGCTAACCTTTCTGCTAACCAGTGTAGCACATTGCTCTCTAATCTCACTGCCGTGTATTTGATTTCTGTCAAGTGTTATTGTGCAAACGCCACAGCAGCAAGCAAATACTTCATGTGTTGTTACTTACAGTTAATGTTGCTCAACCTACTTTCTTCTGTCTTCATTTGTCATGACTTTAGTTTGGTTGTGGGCACTGTTAATTATTTCATGACAAGATCATTTCACCTCCTTCCTCTCCGCTCTTTCTGTCTTTTGTTTCACTTTTAATTGAATTGGAGAAGCATTTTGTTCTCTAAATGGCTTCTTTCCAGAAATACGGGTCACTTAATTCCTTTTGAGTCGAGGAATTTAACATGCATAATACATGTCTGTTAGAAAAAAAGGCTCAAAACTCTATTCATTAATCTGTGTTTGAGGCTCAAGATTTCAGCTGCTGAGTCATTGCTTCCCTTTCAGCTGAGTGTACACCGGCTATTTTTAATGGCTACTGAATGATCCTCTTCTTGCATCTTATTTTCCAACACTGTCTTAGTCACTCACACACACTTGCACACTCACACACAGGCACAAACACACACATTTTGTGTGAGTTATTAGCCTGCTCTCTATTGTGCTGGAGCTGAGCCAAGGTCTCAATCCAATCCATACACATTTGTGACAGCCTTTTATAGTCACATGTTCCAGCATCTAATCACTGCCAAACTGGGTTGTTTTGTGAGCTGCAGAAGACTTTCCAACATTACACCTCGCTGACAGAAGCGGGAGAAAGCATAGGTGTTGTAGCACAGCGCTGTAATTGCACACACTTTTAGAGCAACTTCAAAGAAGCGAAAATAAAAGTGACTTGTAGCCTAATATGTATTGATTTGAGTTTTACAGCCTCCTCTTTACTCTTGCTTGCGCAATCTCAGGCTTATTCACCATCAAGTGCACTTGGCTGATTGCTGAGAACAGGAAATGACAAGATGTTCTGAGTGTGTTTAAAAATTCAGTGTCCTCAGAAGACTTTTCCTTCTTTTTTTTTTTTCTTTTTTATTTATTTTAGCCCCTTTTTATGCTGTGGTTTTCACCCTCTCACAGAACCAGACAAACCTTCCAGCGCTGACTCCTTTCCTGCCACATAAATTACCCACAAAGCAACATTTCTTTAATACTTTGTTTTGTCAGCAGGGATGGTTTTCTAACAACACAGCAACAAACCCAAACTGTTGTGCTGGTCCTCAGTCGTAAGCATTTTTCTTTTTTTTTTGAGTGCTGGCAGGTCCCTGTTGGCTTTGCTTTTGAAAAAAAAAAAAAAAAAAAAAAGGCTACTGAGAGCCTCAGCAGAACACCTGCCCCCATCCTGACCTGTTGTTAGCAGATTCAATCCCAAGAGAACAACAGGCTGGTTACAAGAAATGCGCTGCTGGTTTTATATCACCCTCTCTGTCCCACTCCGTCAGACAAACTCGACATGCAGTCAGAACATGTAATTTGTGTTTTCTGTCCTTCTCCTTTCTCGTCACGGCACAGAAAATAGACCAAATAATTTCTTTGTGCACTCAGTGTCGTCCAGGAGTAGATTTCTGCCACTGGCTGTCAGGTATTTTCCACTGCCTCTATCAGTTTACAAATCTGTGCACGGTTCATTCAGTTTTCCCCACTCGGTATACAGCATTCAAACCAAAACTGCCCGAACTGCAGGTTTTCCACAAGAGTTCACATTGTCAACATGTTCAACCTGCTAACAGGCCTGTGCATGTTTTAGAAATGCTTCCTCTGAGAACATCCCAAATAGACTTTATATAACTTTCTCTCTCTCTCTCTCTCTCCCCCCCCCATCATATTTATCCTGCTGAAATTGAACTTCCCATCTGTCATCAATCGCTCACTCCTGGCTCAGGGACCTGAAAAACCAATGTGACAGACATTTCTTTTTAGATATTTCTCATTCTCATTATGCAGCTCCTTTGTTCCTTGTTTTGTATGTGAGGAAAAAACCTCAAACTCAGCTTATTAACAGTTCTATCTTTTGCAACAATAGAGACAATCAATCGTCAAGGGCAAAACATTTACAAAAATTCTGCTGTAAAACTGGAAAGCTACATCCTACTTGGAGGACTTTGTATTTCATGTGTCAGATGTGTAGATGTCATTGTCTTATGGCGGGTTGATAGAAGCACGACAGGCTGGGGAGGCAGAGGGAGGGAGACGATGTGCCATCACAGCTGTCAGATCCCCCCCCCAGGGCTCCTTTGAATATCGGCACATACAGTATCCTCGCTGCTTATAGAGAAGAGCAAAGACACAGCAGGACACTTTTCCTGAGAGTGAACTTCATATGGAAAAATGTGACCTCAAATGTCTGAAGGTTGCCTTATGTCAATGAAGTGCTGTTTGTAAATGAATGTTGAGGCTCAAATCTGTCTAAGTTTATATCTCAACATAAAGTGTAGTTGTGTAGATAAAGGACTTTATACAGATATAGATGATGTCTCTTTCAAAATTTTAAGCTTGAAAAAAAAAGACAACCGACTAAAGGAGGGGTACGGAAGCCCTGAGTGGACATGAACCAATAAGTTTTGTTTAACTCGTGACAACGAGTAATTCAGGTTGTTTTCTCATGATCTTGACTTTATCTGTTATCCCAGGAGTAGCAAAAGCACACACAAAAAACACAGATATAGGCTTAACTTACATGGTTAGTGTTGGCAATGACAGCATGGCATGTTGTACTCAGGCCTCTCTCTCACAATGGGAGCCTATTGTCTTGTTTTCTAGATTTTCTTCTCTTTTGCTTATTGTGTCATCCTTACATGGGAAGTGTTATTTTTCTAAACAATCTGACATGCATTTAAAGTACATGTCTTTGAAGGAGACCTTCTTTTTTTTTTACAGGTATAACATCTGTTTGTTTTTAGGCTACAGTGTGTCCCTTTTCTCTTTACCTGCCTGCATCATACTATTTTGCAGGAAGAGATGGCTGTAAGAATCACATTACACCTACAGGTAATTCAGTTATTATCTCATGTGGGTAACCAATGGGTGCACATAAATCTGAACTGATGCAATTTAAGGTGGGTATGAAAAAAAAAGAAGATGTACAGACACACCTCCTCCCATGTTACACAGGAGAGAGAGGGAGGGAGAGAGAGAGGGAGAGAGGGAGAGGGAGGGAGAGGGATAGTTTGCCCCACATCTTTGTTGCTATAACTACCCTCTGCTACGACAGTCAGAGATGAAGTCGTTTGCCGGAGACCAACCACAGGTCCACTACTGATGCTCCTCACACAGAAGGGTCTCTCAAATGTTTTTACATCGAAGAAGAAGATGAAGATAATCCTTCTGCCGTGGTGAAACAAAAGAAGAACTTTAAACGCAATTTGACAAATATTTCCCACTTTCTGGATCTAAAACTTAACAAGATTTAACTGGTAAGTTCATTCATTTTTTTTAGCAAATAGTTTAGGCTACTTTTAAACAAGTGTAAAAAGAATAACTAGGCTTTTACATGATGCGTGTTTAATAGGCTATCAAGTCTGGGAGACTTTAAAATGTAGGCTATTCGGTTATTCGTCGATTTTCTTTTCTTTTAACTCGCAATAATTTTTAACTTTTTAGATAGTTGGCTTTCCTTTTCTTTTTTTTAATTGAATTTCTAAGTGTTAAAAGTCGGGGGAAAAAAGGACGCATTGAACTGCCATGCTCGTTTGTACTTTATCTTACCTGGAGATTTGAAATCTGTTATTCCGGGTTCGTTTCCTTACCACAGTCCAGTTGAACCTGCTTCACCAAGAATAACGCAATTCAAGGTCTAAATCAATTTTCTTCGGACATGCTTTGTCTTCAGTGCAAGTTAATCTCATAAAATGAAGATACGATACTTTAGGTGACCTCAGCCGCAAGGAAGAAGCAACTCTTAGTCTTTATTTAGCCTGTCATAACTTATTTACTTTTAGTAGGCTAATGTGTGGAAAATATTAGTAATTAATATTTGGAAACGGCAACCATAAGCTGAAAGAACAGAGCCATCTATGTGTCTGTCTTTCCCATTCATAAATATACAGCAGCTGATCATTTTTGTTAATTGGGGATTTGCATGCATTTGCATTTACTAACAGGAGGGTTAATGAGCGGGGCAGTAAATCATACCTCACAGAAGCTTTTTGACGGACACCTCAGGGCTGTCACTCGCACACCTTTTAAACGAATTAATCAAATCCAGGCCACTGTGAGACTGTACTGTCTGTGCAGGAGACTATAGAGGTGCATGACAGCTTTGATTGTATTATAAAGATGAGGAGAATGTGATTCAATACTGAAGAGGATTTCATCAAATTCAAGCATTGTGTCAGAGTTACTTTACCAGAACAAAAACGCAATACAGCACTGGTTGGAAAAACCCCTGAGAGATTGTCATGGAAAGTGAAAATACACAATTTGGAGACTCAAATAGATAAAAAAAAAATGAAGACAGGTGAGACTTAGGAGATCTAAAATATCTTAAAAATGTGATGTGTCCCTTTTTTTTATATTTTATAAAACATCAGCTATTTCCTCCTTGAGCAAACACCAGACAAAGGTTGTCTTCTTCAGCTCTGTCACTTATTGACACGCTGGGACACGGGCAAGATTGATGCTCTGGCTCTTAATAGTGTAGCAGGCAATACTGGGACCATCGATCCCACCCCTTTTTCTACCCCCCTCCTCCCACCATGGATTATGATTAAGGGGCTACGGCATCATGGGAAAATAAATAGAGGGATGAATGAGATGAACATGTATCGATGAGTGTAATGTGATGTTTTTGTTCTGCTCTGGTAGAAGACACAGCAGGGAAAGGAAATGGGAGGACTTCAGATAATCATGTGCAAGGATTTAGGGCCTTTTAATTCAGAAACGAATGATTTTCTATATAAAATTACACAACTTGAACTATAATTACTGCTTTCAAAATAAGGGGGTCTTTCTTGCACTGCAATTTTTTGTCTTACAGATATATATATATTTTTACATAGTCTCTCCCTGCAGAATTTGTCAGACAAACAAGCTTAAGCTCATTTCATTGTCTATCTCTTTAACCCACTGACCTTTGTCTCTTCCTCTCTACCACCTCTCATTTCTGCATTCATTTTGATTGCATGTGTTTGAAGAAGAAACAGACTCATCTTTTCCACACTGACCCTTTATTCTGTCTGTCAGATTCTCCTGGAGTGCCCGTGTGTGAGTCTGGTTGGGACCCTGTGTGTGCTGGGGGGCTATGGTGAGGCCATGTTCACAGGCTGGTGTGAGGAGAGATGTTCCAGCAGCAGTGGAGGTAAAGGAGTGGATCTTCCTTCATGGCTGTGCATCTCACTCTTCTTCTCTGCCCTGTGGGGCCAAGCGTACACTCAGTGTCCGGACAGCTGCCACTGTGCCTGGGACACGGCCACGGTGGTGTGTTCGGACGCAGGGCTGCGAGAGATCCCAGAGGGGATCCCACCGGACACTGTCTCCCTCTACCTGGAACGTAATTACATACGGAGTATCCCTGAGAGTGCCTTCAGCGACCTGGTCCACTTGCGGGATCTGTACCTGTCCAACAACCGCATCGACTCGCTGGCCTCAGGGGCCCTGCGGCATCTTGGGTCCGAGCTGCGCCTGCTTGATCTCTCTCACAATCAGCTGAGACAGGCCAGCAGGGAGGAGTTCGGCTCCACCCGTGCAAAGACTCGCCTGTACCACAACCCCTGGCACTGTGACTGCGCCCTACAGGAGCTGATGGAGACTCTGAACCTGGAGCCAGAGACAGTGAATGGGATCATTTGTGAGAGCTCGGTGCGGGGGGTGGGTGAGGGGAGCAGGTGGGAGGACCCAGGGTCTCAGGGGGAGCACGCAGGTCAACCTCTGGTCAAACTGTTGGATTCTGGGGTGAATTTCTGCAGCCTGCAGAGGAAGACCACTGACATAGCCATGCTGGTTACAATGTTTGTGTGGTTCTTTATGGTCATTGTGTACGTGGTGTACTACGTGAGGCAGAACCAAGCTGAAGCCCGCAGGCATTTGGAGTACCTAAAGAGTTTACCCAGCCCACGCAAGACCCCCACAGAGACAGACACTCTGAGCACTGGTTTCTGAACACCTCATTTCAAATCAATTTAAAATGATTTATAATCCAACAAGGTTTTAATGTAGAACGACTACTTAACTTCAGAAATACCATGTGGATTTACTGTAAGCCGTCTGTGGAAGATCCTGATAAAAAGAAGACTTTTTACAGCTGTGTTTTAGTGATTACAACCTTTCTTTACATTTTTTACTACTGAGGCCCCTCTGTGTCTTTCTTGATATTTCTTTACCCATGTGTTTCTTGAAATAATTGAACATAAAAAGGTGAGAATTGGTTTAATGAATTTTGCCATGTTCACAGAGAGGAGTAAAAACTGAAAAGTGCAGCAGAAAAGGATGAAATAAGAAAAAGAAAACTCTGAACTCTACAACCTTGTTATTCCCTCTGTAGCCCCTCTTTATTCTTCTTTTCTTCTCCCGTCAGTCCTCCTGCGGTGGTCTGTTTTATCTTTTATTAAGCTTTAATTAGAAGTCTTTGACCAACTGACCCTTAATGAACACTTAAAAGGCTCCAATCAGCTGGAGTGTGTTTATCAGGTCTAAAAGGAGAGCATGCACAATCAGTACGTGTCCCCGTCTAATTGCTTGACTCTGTTGTTTTGTACGTGTGTGCATTTGCTGTTTTTTTTAATTGTTAGTCATTTTTACATTGAATACATCAATTTGATGTGGATTCTTTGCAGCCTTTCCCTAATTCATGCTCATTAATCCAGCTTTTGTAAGTGCCAATAAGGAACAACAGATCTAAATGTACTCTCAGGAAGCCAAACTAGAGGTGGTCCTTTTTATTGAGTGTCCAAGCTGTAGCAATCATGAACATATTTAGACAGTTTAGTGTACAAAAAGCAGCAACTAACTGGTAAAGAGAAATTCAGCTAGATTTAGAACTCAAATCACTATTCAGATTTCAATTAATACAAATATTTATCCTGACAAAGCTGTTATTTTAGATTTAATTAATCTATTGAGTCGTTCTGTCTCCTATTTTCCACATAGGCTGCATCATAATTGGTTTTTTTTAAGCCTATTTGAGAATAAGCCGAACACTTGGTAGATACATTTAATAATTTGTTTCCCATGGTTAGCACTGTATTGTAATGCAATAAAGTGCTAACCATGTAATGCAAAGATTAATTTCACTTTTGATGTGATGTGTGAACTATAGGTTACTGAATATCAAGCCCAGCTCCACATAATCTGAAACAAGATTAACAGCCCATTTTTACTTTACCTGAAATCATTATAGTCATATTTACTGTGGCAGTAACTGATATTGCTATTTGAAAAAAGCCCAATATTATTCTTCAATGTAAAAAAATATGAACAGTAAAAACCCTCTTGTAAACAAATTACTTTTATCCACAGCCTAACTGAATGGTGACTAACCAGGGTTTTAAAACCACAACAACAGGGGTCAAAATGTTACAGATTATTAAAGCAGCGCACACTTGGGTTCAGTTTGTTTAGACTTTACTTTTTAGTGTCATTATTTTGCAAAATACATCATAGATTTGGGCACTTCAAGCCTTTTTAACCCCTCAATTTCACAATAAATGTTTGGTCTGTCTACTGTGTTCAGACGGGGATATCAGGCTTTTTAGTTTTTTTAGGGTAGGCTACAGTTAGCTACATTATGATAGCCAGCTACCAATTGATAAAAGCTAACATTTGCATTAGAGGCATAAATTCCCAGCATTGTGTAACAATCAAATGCCAATGCTTGCTAGGAAGTGGCTGAAAGACTACAAACATGAGCTATTACACAACATAATAACAAAGTCATAAATTCATAGCTAACGGTAATGCTAGCTAGGACATTTTTGCCATGAATGTACACATGGTAAAACTTAACGCAACAGAAGCATTAGGCCTATCCAATATGCTGTAATACTTTGAAACAGGAATTTCCCTCAGGATTATACCACCCACTGTGTTTTTTAGTTAGAACTGCATTTTTTAGTCTTAAAGCTGCATTTATAATTAATTGTCAGATTCCCTACGTTTGTACGACTAGCAAACCAGAACACAGTACAAAACGGTATCAAGCAAATTGTAAAAGCTTTGGCTAACCCTTAATTTTTCAGATTGCTCATCTGATCAAATTTTCCGTTTCTTTAATACTCTGCGTTATATCTACAAAAATATCAAAAGTCACATTAGTACCAGTTATTAGTTGTGAATGTTAATCAACAAATAAAAGCATGCTAGTACTCTAAACTCAGATGTTTATAGTCGCATTACAGCTGCTAAACATCAGCATGCTAGCCATATCATTGTTAGCATGTTAACATTCTGGCTTTAGCATCATGTCCCTCTTGTCCAGAGCCGCTAGCTGTGAACTTTGTGTTATTCATGTGTCTTTGTTCAGTGGCTCATTAAGTGTATCCATAAAACCCTCTATGTGGTCATGAATACGAACGTTATTTTATCTATCAATTTGAGAAAATAGTAAAAGCTGAAGGAAACCCTAGAATAGGATAACTTTTTTTTGTGTTCTGTAACGTGCTAAATGTTTGCTCGAGAAAGAAGAGTTTGTGTCCTTCAGGTTAAAGAAATACTGTGAATTAGAAATAGAATCAGTTATAGAGTAAAATGATGTTGTTATGATAAGTTGTCATGTGTGACAGGTCGTGGTTTGAAGACTACAGGCTGAAAGATTAGAGGAAAAATATAAAAAAATATGACTGTCAAAAGAAAATAAGTCCATAAACCTGTGTAGAAATGTTGATGTATCTTTACATGCTTCGAAGAGCTCCTGAATATTCTTGTTCATTCTTGTTCACAAATCATCCTGCTGGTGTCGGTGTCCTCGCTAGAGTTCAGTTCGTTTAACTGCCTCCCTACCGTGCAATCTTTAAACCGCTTTGAGACCAAAATGATTTGTTTTCTCTTCTGTTTGCCAGTACTTACTTGAACAAAGGAAGTTATTGAACAAAAATAATAGTTTCATATTGATCCATCAATAGGTTTTTTTTTTTTTTTTGGGGGGGGGGGAACAAATGAATGAATAAAAGAAACATTGCTCTATGTTGTTCATAGAAATGCTTCTACATTTTATTGCCACTGCAGGTTGAAAAAGGCAAAAGATGAAGAGTAAAAGAAGTACAGGAAGACATTAGCAGTTTACAGACGGAGCTGAGCGTGGTTGGCATTGTTTCCCATTTCTACTCTACCATGCTATAAAAAACCATGTTACATTTTTGTAAAAGGCACATGACATGAGTTTCGCCACATCCTCCTTCGTTTTTTTTGTTTTCTCCTCAAATTACCATCTTCAAAAAATCAAAACACCCCTCCGCATTCATCCATCTCTCCACTGTTTTCTTAAAATCTGAGGTGTTTCTCACCACGAGGAATATATTACCACAAAAAGACATGTTGGAAGCAGGGCAAAGTAAAATGTTCTGTCGTGTCTTTTTTAATGGATAGATTTTTTTTCTTGGAGAAGAGTCAAACCATTGCCCCAACATATTTGAACGTGGTGGAGAACAAAACAGGGTATAAATAAAAAGCAACTTCAGCCTGTTACTTTGTTTTGTCTTTTATTTCCAATTTACATTAATTAAAACGTAACAAAAACAAGTCATGATCATAATAATAATATAATAATGCTATTATTATTAATAATAATACTATTATTAATAATAAAAAATATACACAACCTCACACAAATGCACCCTCTGCGCAGGCTCTACAACTGGAAAAACAAAGTAAAACACCCTGTATATCTTCATATAGAAGATTGTGTGTGTGTGTGTGTGTGTGTGTGTGTGTGTGTGTGTGTGTGTGTGTATATGTGAGTGTGTGTGTGTGAGTGAGTGAGAGAGAGTGTATGCCTAGGCAGAGGGCACGCGCTGTGTGAGGGGAGGGGACTGATGGGAGGATGTAGGGAGGGAAAGGGACAAACGGGGCAGCAGACTGGGCTTCATTGACCAAGATACTGGTCGTATTGATAATCAACTAAAATACAGGGACAATTCAGGGGAAAAGGCCTTACATTAATTTGTGACTTTTGGTGAGGTAGCTCTATAATATCAAAAAATATTGAATTATTTCCAAATAGGACATGCCTGAATTCATTATGGGCATGGCTGTTAACATTGTGGGATCAAGGCAGGAGGGTAAGGTGAGGCAGGGACATTTCTCAACCCAGAAATTCAAAATCACAGGTTGAAATGCTCTCTCCAACAAACTGTGTATATATGTATACACATATATACATATATATACTACATATGAGTATCTGGTTGTTAAAAAACACAGACTGTTTTACAACAATAGCACCATTGACTTTTATTATAATACACAGTAACTTTTCGATACACACTGTGGTGGTAGAAATAGGAACACCTGCACTTTCTATGTAAGCTAGATTTTTGGTTTCAGAGACATGTTGGCTTTAGTGGAAACAGGATGGATGGGGTGATGAGAAAAAAGGAGGAAGTAAGAGAAGAATTTGGTGGATAAGGTCTTTCTTTAAATATGTGTAAGTGGGCTTTTATTACTTAGCAACAAACTCAGTCCTAACACACCTGGGACCCAAACCTAAACAATAAATAAATAACACCAACACATTTTTCTCTCTCAAGTTCCCTGGTATGTATGTTCCTGTACTCTCCTCCTACTTCCTCCTTTTTGTTCATAGGGTAGGCAGGTGGAGAAAAGGGGGCTTTTGGGGTATGTTGGGTGTCCATGAAGAAGGTTAAGGGGTTGGGGGGGTGTTGACTAAAGGCAACGCTGGATGAATCACAGATGACAGTTGCTGGTGCCATTCAGTGCAGAGATCCTACGGAGTTCGACTTGGAAAAAAAGCACTTTTTACTTAGAAAAAAAGTCCCATTTTAAAAAAGTGTCTTGATTTTTTTTCGTTTTCACTCTTTCTTTCCTCTTTTATCGGAAGTGTGCTCCTTTCTTATTCTATTTTCTTTTTAATTTCCACTTCTTTCTCTTCTTTTGGATCCCTCGTTCTTTACAAGAAACAGACTGCTCCGACCTCGACTCCAAACTCCTGGTCTGCTCCACCAATATCCATGGGGGCAATGTCCACAATGGGCAGACGAGAGGTCTTCTGCGATCTGTATTCAATCACTGTCTTGCCCCACTGTCCCGTGTGTTTCTGTAGAGAGGGAAAAAAATGTAACTGCTGTTAAATGAACTATTACTTTCTCCAAAATGGCAGAGGATAAGCGTGCCTTAGGGAGTAAGAGATGGTGCTTAACATCTGTCAAGGAAGGAAAGAGAATCCTCGACCAATGCAATATTGTTTTTGATTATTGTATGACGTGAACCTGATTCAGTGTGTGCATGTATAGCTGCATGAACTGTTGCATATCTTACCGTGCAGCCATCCTCCATCACGCTGTAGGTGAAGCGGCTGTTGCCCTCGGCTCTGATCTCCACGTCGTTGGAGCCCTGCAGCAGCACGGCCTTCTTTAGGTTGCCTGTAGAGGCGTCCATGTAGGCCACACTGTTCTTACAGTGGTAGGTGAGGTTCTGAGATGCCTCGGTGGACAGCAGTCTCAGGAATGTCATCTGGATGGCAGCAGTGTTGGCTGCCAGGCTGTCATCACCATAGCTGAACTGTATTTGGCCGCAGGGGAAAAGGAGTAAGTGAGAACAACATTTAACTTTGTCTTGGTTTTTGTAAAATTATTTACAGATAACAAGAAAGGCTATTTGGGCTCTTCAAAAAGTATATATAAAGTATTATATAAAGTATAATTCTTTTTATGTTGTTAAACTATTTAGCAGCTGAAAATGTTGTATAAAAATTTGACTTTTTTGTGTTATGTCAGGGTGGTCCTTTTTGCAATGCAGAAACAATATTTTGTCTAATTTTAATTAAATGTAGGAAGAAATCCTAAATTAGCTGCTGATAAGAGTCCCTATGATCTAGTGGAAGTCAATAACAATTTGAAGACTAAATGTTCCTTCTGCTGTCAAGGTCTGAAATCAGGACACTCACAATCAGCAAAACAAGACTTCCAGGAGTGAGTAAAGCTGCTCTTATGATACCTAAAAAATGTTTTCGTCCGTGCAGAAAAGCTCGGAAATCCAAACCTACATCATTGCATTCCTTGATTAAATTTTTCAACATTTGGGCCTTGATCTGAGCCAAAAATCCGACAAAACATGGTGTCAAGAGCAGGTTGTCATTACAATATAATAAGAAAAGAAGAGGCGTGTCTTTGTTTCAGCTAAACCGATTGCTAACAAATATGAAAAAACATTGTGATACTTACATGATATCCTCCATTCATCGTCTCTCCGAACCAGACGTGTTTGCGGTCCTTGCTCTTGCTTGACCACCAGTTCTTACGAGGGATGTTGGAAGGCTTGGGGAGGACACAGGACTCTCCGGTCTCCATGTTGCAGAAGACTTTGATTGCATCGATGGTGCAGCCCTGGTTGGGGTCAATCCAGTACTCTCCTGCAGGAAAGCAGCAAACACATCAGAGGTTCATAATCATGTCTTTTTGGCTTTAAAAAATGTTGTATACATTAAAAATTAATATCATTAAGTTATAGAATTCTGTAAAATTATAATACCTCAAAAAACCTACTATGAATCAGCCACATTCACGCACTCCCAGACAGAATACACTACACTTAACCCAAATTTGAACTGCAAACATCAATTGTCATCCTATTTCTACTCCATCCAGTCAACTCAATTTATCCAATTCCCCACGGTGTCACTCACCGCTCTTCCAGTCAGGATGACAGAGCTTCAGGTCTCTGCAGGTGCGAGCTGGGTTCTTCTTGGATCCCTCGGGGCTGCGGATGTTCTCAATCTGGTTGTTGAGAGATTTGAGTGTGGCATCGACCTCAGCGTCGTGCTGACGGAGGTTTCCAGAAGCCTGGTCGGCTCTCATGTACCTGAGAGGATCATGAGACTTCTCAGTCTGACCCAGACCAGCGAAGGCGGACATGTCGATGCCAGGGCCAGGGGGACCAGGAGGACCTGGGGGTCCAGAGTTTCCAGGGGGACCCTGAGAGGAACAGAACAATGATAAAGGGTTATATTTAGCATTCAATAACTTTTAGACATTTCTCTTTTTGTCCAGTCACCACTTTACTTGTGTAGTCTCTTTGATTTCATTAAGACTTGATAAATCCCCCTCATGTCAGGTAAAGATTGAGAGCTGTTTTGAAATCTGTTCTCTGGTCTTATTTCAATCTTTGTGTGAAGGACTTAAAGATGCAGCAATGAATGCAACAACAATGAGCTAAAATTATGTCAACCTGTGTCCTCGCTACATTTTATTTAGTTGTCTATCTTTTCTGGTTTTGATCAAGTTTTTGTCTTCATTCTGTTAGTAATAAGTACCCCCCCCCCCCACTTGTGTGTAAAGTATACTGAAACTGTTAAACTTCAGTATGTAAAACTACATTTAATTTTTGCTCTGGAATCTGTAAGAGGTATCGATCATAACCCAATGTATAAGCTAAGCAATTTTCTGTAATATTTCTAAAGAATCAGTATTGATTTATCAGTGAAGAAACCTATATATTTTTTGGGGAAATACATGCCTTGTGCCTGCTACCCTGTAATCATCCAGACTGAAGGAATAACTTCCACAAAAAAAGCGAAATGATTTCAGAAGCTTAGTTTACTTTAATGAGTTTTGAGTGTTTTGAGTTGTTGCTGCAGTTCTAGTTCTTTATTCTAAAAAATGAAATACTATAAATTATAATAATACTGTTATTGAACTTATTCCTACATATTACACTCTATATCCCTTTTCACACATACAGAAATCGCCTGAAAAACTCTCCGGCCAGACCCCTATTATTTTATCCAGAGTGATCTGATGTCTGAATTCAGCAGCTCTCACGGATTTTCCTACAGGAGTTGAATTTAAATCTTTTTGTATGTGTAACTACACACCTTTAGAAACACATTGCTGTAGAAATTGGTTGGTAAGGAATTTATTCCCAGATTGGCCAAAATAGACCTATGAAGATACTTTATAATTCACATGCAACAAGCAACATTGATTTTTACCTAAACAAAGGGTTTTCAAGAGAGCTGGAAAAGTGGGCGTGGCCGTTTCTCTACCAAGGAGTGGTTTTGGTGCAAAATAAATGCTTGCAATGGATTCAGCATCCCAAATAACCCCTAATTTAACCTTAAGATGCTATTTAAGGCACATGTAAAAAAAATCTAAAATTTCAAATTTTCAACCAATAGGGTTCCAGGTACCCGAAGTTTCAGCAGCTCTCACAGATTTTCCTACAGGAGTTGAATTTAAATCTTTTTATATGTGTAACTACACACCTTTAGAAACACATTGCTGTAGAAATTGGTTGGTAAGAAATTTATTCCCAGATTTTCACAATATTCCCTTACTATGTTGTTCTCCGCTCTTTTGTGGATGTTGTCATTCCATTGGATTACACAAAGCATTGAAATAAAGGCAAATATTCTCATTATAACGTCGCGTAGCGGACTCTGTTGCTTCGGACACTACTTCCACGTTGTTTATTTACGTCACATCTTACGTCGGGAAATCCCCCAATCCCCC